CAACATTGTAATAAAGATCACTTTTAAGCCTTCCAAAACCATCTGCATGATGTTTGAGTTAAACTTTGGACATTGGGATAGGGCAGGAAAACTGTTGAGGACAAAGATCAGTCATGATCATATTGAGGTGGACTCAAAGAGCCATATGTCTTACTCCTGCTCCTTTTCCGAGACATTTTTGGTTGTGGGTTAATGTATTCCATGTTTTAAACTTTCAGTCCACTCCAAATAGTAAAAAGATCATCGTGGCTATTGTTACATGGCTCTGTTGATGTTCTGGCTATTCCAACTTAAGTGGCCATTCTTCAAACATGACACTGGAAGGTCTGCCAGCTTGATTGAAGAATCATAAATTAATTTGAACCTGTCAGGTTCCAATGTTCCTACTTACGTTCCTTTCACTAGGGTCACTGGGAGTGACATTGAGGTGAATTTCTCCCTCTCCCTAACCCAGGCAACTTGTATTGTCACTGCTGTCCCTCAAAGTTTTTCTTGAAGAATTGGCTTAGTTTCAACGATGTCCTGTTTCTTTTGTGAACTGTTGCCTCCAAACCAGTCCAGGACCCAACATTGCTGGGGTCAGAGAGGGCAATGAAGGAGCAAATGAGATGTTTCTGAACGGCTTTTGTGGTGAACTGGCTTTGCCTCATTGCCATTCCATCAACTTCCACCCATAGATTCTAGTCAAGGTGCAGAAAAGTATTTCTGGAACAATTCTCAAAGTACCAGGGAAGCCATATGCATGATGTGAGGTCTTATACGCCTCTCACCCTATACTGTGGCATCGAGACATTTGGAAAAGCTGCAGAATATTCTACCTGATCCAGGAGAGAATTGGTTATCTCTATTTGAATACTTTCATGACGTCCCCAGGATCTGAAGAACAACTTATTTACTGCATGTGTCAGTTCAGGAAAGGTCCCTTAGGTTTTCTAAGTGGAGCTGGTATGGAATACGTCATGCCTGCTACAGGCTCCCTACTTTGATGATGCTAAAATGTTGACCCCATAAATTGAGGGTGGGCCAGAACAGAGATTTGCTTGTACAATTGCTCACAGAACAGAGCTCCTAAGAACATTCCCTCACATTCTTGGATATAGAAGGAAAGGGACTACCTTCAGCAAAGGCTGGTCATGGAAAGAACATAGGAAAGGAAAGCAGACTTTTTTAATGGAGACACCATTAGCAGAATGGACATCTTGACCTGGATGTTATCTGAGGAGAATTGTTTATAGGAAAGGGAAGAGCATTTTGCAGCAAGATTGTTTTTACTGGAGGAAATGTGGAAAGAAACAGACCATACAAAGCAAAACCTCCAACTGCAAAGAATGTGGAGTGGACAGGATCCAAGTAAATATCTTTTTCTTTTCTCGTCGAAACCTCCAGAGAGAAAATAACATCCAAACAGCTCAGATTCAAATCCTGCCCAAACATATGGGTTTCTTTGGTTGGGAAATGACAAGAAAGCCAATCCTGAATAGTTTGCTTCTATGACCAGAAAACATGCCAGACAAGATTGGATGCACAAATCACTTTTCAGTAGTTTTCATTTAGCTGGATCTCTCAACAATGTAAATCATGAAGATAAATGGCACTTAGACTACATCTCACTCTGTCCAAAGAAACAAATTTCTAATCCCTAATCCAACAATTTATTTTTTCACTAGGTCTTCCGACACTTATCGACACGGAATTGTCGTAGCTTCTTTTAGCTGGTGTTCCTCCATTGACTCCTGGTACCATAGTATGGAGCTCCATGTAGGAGTCTCCAGGACAACTGTGAATGATTACTTTTTCCTAGGAATGCTTCATGGACTTCTCAATCTTAACCATGAATTAGAATATAAGACCTATAATTATAACCTATCTCACTATCTGTGTCATTACAAAGATGTAGATGTAATAGGACAATATGTTCATTCTTTTGTCTCTACTGCTTAACTTCTTATTGATTATAGTTTTTAGTATGCATTAAACAAAAAGTAAGATCAGTGAGAGAATGATTTTCATTCATTTGAAATCAAAATTGTCACCAATTCTTTGAAATCTTCAAAATCTATCAGACTGAGAGAAATTGAGAGACTTTGACACAACAGGTTTGCTGGTAGGTAGACCTGGAGTCCAAATTGGAAGATGTTGCTTGAAGGGTAAATATTGGCCAGGACACCAGGAGAACCCCATAGTGCTGTCACCTGAATGACTGAACAGAACCTTCGTTAAACGTCTTCCTGAAAGATGGGATATCTAACAATGCAGCGCTCCTCAGTACTACACTGATGTCAGCCTAGTTTTATTTAAAAGTCCCCAGAGGTTTAAATTGTCAAAGTTCTTGAGGTGGGAGCACCAACAATGGACCAAGGTTGGCATCGAATTAATAATAAAAGCAAAATCTGGTGATGCTGGAAAAGTGTGATAAAAACAGAGAATGCTGGTGAAACTCAGCAGGGCTGACAGCATCTGTGAAGAGAGAAAAACAGAGTTAATGTTTCCAATCTGATATGACCCTTCTTTGGGACAGAAGGGTCACTGGACTTGAAATGTTAACTCTGTTTTTCTCTCTCCACAGATACCGCCAGAACTGTTGAGTTTCACCAGCGTTCTCTGTTTTAGCTGACGAAATAAAAACTGCTCAAGTACTAATGTTTTAAGCAATGTTCTGAGCAGCATCCTCCTTGCCATAGTTGAATTTGATCTTTGAGACTGACTTAAGTAAACTTGTGAAACATGAGAATATCTATTTATAATTAAGATGTTGCATAAAGGAGAGAATAGTAGTGTGGGTCAGGTGTGTTATACAGTTTAACTAAAATGTATCTATTCAGGAAAGGGGAATTTTCATTTGATTAACAACTATGAGTCTAGTTATGTAGCAGCATAAAGAAAACATCTTACTAAAATTGTATGAAGAAGCAATTATTCATGATATCTTGTAGTGAATTTTCTGTCACTTTTGATGTAACAATGGTGTGTAACTTGTATCTTGAAATAAAGTACTGCTAATCTGGTGGCCTTTGCCAAGCTACTCATGGTCGTCCCTTGTGTTTTTTTTATATTGTGACAATTCCCAGGGGAATCATTAATTATTGAAACCCAGCTTTTCTTACTGAATTCTGTAAATTAAGCTGTCAGAATGGAGTCGGGACATTCCAGGTCTGACTGCTAGGTTGAACTATTTGGTACTCAACAGGAGGCATACTCATCAACTTCTCATCTTTCAGAATTATCTCATTCATTATAATGTTCTATATTATTGAGGGCATTTGAAACAATGTACTGTCTTAGTTTTCATATAAACCAGACTCTTGGAAAGAATACAATGAATTTAGCGGAATTGCATTAGTAACTTAATATATTTACTGATGAAGGAAAATGAAATTCAGAGATGTAGCTTAGTCCATTCCTTTGTACAATTTCCCGTGCCTTGCAGTGTTCCCTTATATAGTTTATTTGTTTTTCTCAATCACTCAAAACATTTTGAATCTTTAATTTTAGAGAACTTTAAAAAGTGTTTTGCACTGTTTACAAGTTTTTGTCAATCTATGTGAAGCTAAACCTTCTCAAGGTAATCTCACACCAGAGATTGAAACTCAAACTTATTTGTTACACTGGACATAATTACAACTGGAGTTACTCTACAGTGATGTCAAATGTGCAGTACGATGACTCAATTAAATATAATAGACCTTAACAGATAAGAAAGAATATAACAAAGAACTGCAGATGCCAGAGATCTGAAACAGTTCAGAAATTGCTGGAGAAATTCAGCAGATCTGGCAGCATCGTCGGGTAGAAAGCAGAGTTAACATTTCAAGTTTGTGACTTTTCATCAGCAAGGAGTTTCATTTCTTTACCACTTTCTCATCCTCAGGATGTCACTGCTGGGGAGAAGGTGACACAGTAGTAATATCACAAGATTAGTCATCCAGATGGCCAGATATAATCCTCTGAGAACACGAGTTCAAATCCCATCCAGTCAGCTGATGGAATTTAAATTCAGTTAGTAAAATAGAAAGCCAGTCCAGAAACCACAAAACTATGTCTGAGTGTTTAAAAACCTGTCTGGTTCACTAATGCTCCTTTTGGAAGGAAACCTTCTGTCCTTGAAATAGCTGGAACTGCAGATGCTGGAGAATCCGAGACAACAAGGTGCAGAGCTGGATGAACACAGCAGGCCAAGCAGCATCATAGGAGCAGAAAGGCTGACGTTTCGGGCCTAGAAGGGTCTAGGCCCAAAACGTCAGCCTT